TGTGAGCAGGGGTCTTCATTCCGCAGGACATCACGTACTTCAGAGCGCTCTGGCGTTCTATGCATTCCCACACGCAGTGAGTGAGCTGAACCTCACAATTATGCCCGTTTTAGAGAAGGGGAACTAGAGGTTCAGGGAGGTCAAACTTGGAAAAGGTGTAACAACAGAAAGCAGTAAGGACTGAACTGAAACCCACATTTTTAGAATAAAATCCCACTGTTCTTTCCACTGTATCATTCTATTATCACAATAATTTCTCCTGAAAAAAAAGCCCTAAGAAGAAAAAAGAAATGAAGTTCATGTATAATGTTAAATTGTCTTCTCTTCTGCTGTTTAAATGGTTCACACATTCTAAAAATAGGTGTCTATAAAAATCTAAGTAACATAACTGTCTTAAGCGATTAAATTAAAAAGGATTACATGATAGCATGCTTTAAAGAGAAAATCTTTTCTTTGGCTTTTACACTTTAAAATGTTAAAGACGTAGAGATAATTTTTTCAAGGAAAAGTGTTTAACAATGAGCTTCCAAAAGCTGCAGTAAGCAAAATCTTAATTAGGTATCAAATTAATCATACAGGGAAGCGTGGACAAGATTCACTCAGAAGTGCGCAGAACGCTTAATTAGTCCTAACTCTGACAAACAGGACGTAATTCATTCTTTATCACCACAGCCTTTCAATGGAAATTACAAAATAATAAATATATTATAAAAAATAATTCCAACGGCTTTCTGTAATTGGAAATACATGTTTACTAATGCTTACTGCTTACACAAGTTCCTTGTCACTTGGTTTCCAGGTGGCGGAATTCATGTAACAACTGTTTTCAGCTTCTAAGGACCTCCAGTGCTGCCCCTTGACCGCATTTACTGTGTGTAAAACTCGCAGGGAAATCTGGATTCAGAGTCTTTCGCTGGACAGGCTCCCCAACACCTGATTGGTCAACCTCTAGGTTGTGGAAATAAGAAATGCTGAACGGAGCACAGGTTTCAGAGTAAAAGGTTTCCTGGCAACAATAATGAAAAGTATTCAAGAGAACAAGCTTATTACCCTGGGTTTTTCTGCAAACGGAGCAGTGAAAGGAGACTGCCTGCTCCCGGCTGACAGCCTATCAGAACAACAGAAAAGTGGCACCAAAATGAGCTGCGCTGTCCTCCGGGAGGCCGGCCAACGCCAGGAGGCAGGGGACGGCCGGCGGGGACACCCTGCCTGGCTGCCCCGCAGGGCCGCTCTGCCCGGCCGGGGCCAGAGCTCCCCCAGGGCGCCATTTTATCAGTGTGACCCGCACCGGCCGCCTGGGCTCAGAGCTGCCGCTGTTCTCTGATGGCACGTCACACGCTGACCTGGGACAGCCGCACTCTCTGCTCCGTGTGCGTTTCGCTTCTTCTCTGCCAGGGCCGATGGGGGTAGAAATACCTGCAGAAGGGGCCCTCCACCCTCCGGAAGACGCTACCTTGCGAGCCAGCTGCCTGTCGCCTGCCTCTGGGGTCGCCTGGGCTCTCAGCTCCACCATGTCAGCCGTGCTCAGTGACAGCCTCACCCTGTCGCGCTGCCAGCAAAGTCCCAGGCAACCTGCGGGCGCCCGCGGTGGCCAGCGGGCAGGGCTGGCAGCCCTTCCACTCTGGGAGGCCCCGCTTCCCCTGCGGGGGGGAGGTGCCCACGGAGGGGACTGGACAGCTTTGATTATCTAATTGCAGCTGACACTAAACCGATCTTCCCTCCTCTTTCAATTCTCTCCATTGTTGCCACGTTTTTGCTCAGGCCGGGCACAGGGAGCGTCAGCGCCAGTTTTCGTCTGTGTTTTTGAAAGTCAGCCAAAAGAAGAACGGCGTGCTGCCGCGGGCCGCATGCAAACACTCGGCCGGCTCTCTTACTGCCTTTGTCTCCGCTCCTCCTCCTTCCTCGCTCTCCCTAGCCCCCCAAACAGTTGGCATTCCAACACTGGCTCTAATATTCCAAACGAGCGCCATGTGCAAACTGGCAAGTGTCCAACTTCTTAATCACCCGCCCGCCTCCATCTAAGAGATCTCTAAGTGGCAAACGCAGCCAGAGTCACCGCAGCCTGTTTACACACGCACAGAGCAGCCACCAGAACAATACGCTGTTCTGCCTTGAGCACAACGAAAGAGAGGGTTCTGAAAAATGATAAAAGCTCCAAGCATTTCAAGCTGGAGTTATGCTTCAGACTTGCAAGAACATGGTCTGAACAGAAAATAACGTGATAAAATGACATTTTTCTGGAACCCGAATCACTACACTTCCATACTCACACTTATCTCACCAGTTAAAATTTCTTTGCCAATTCAATACATGAATTTAAAAATCCAGCTCCTCCCGCAGTATTTCATGTCAGGACATGACATGTCAGTGGAAGCCCACGTTTCATGTCAGGACAAACGGTCGCTTCTTGAAGGGAGGACTGGAGCCGGGGCCGGGAGGAGCCCTGCCCGGGGCACAGAAGTCCTCCCATGCCTGGCGACTCGGGCCTCCCTGTGTGGAGCCGGCCAGCGATGGAGGGAGGGCGTGGTCCTCCCACGGCCCCCCCACCGCCCCAGCTCAGTCCCCTCGCCCCTCTAGTCCCGCTTCTGCAGCCGAGGCCGGGACTCCCCTTCCGCTGCCTCCCGCGGGCTGCACCCCTCACAGGCACCATGCGCTCTCCAACAGGCACATCTGGAGCAGCCAGGGTGAAAACGGTGCCCCGCGGGGGCTGGGAAGGAGCTGACAGCCTCAGGAGGAGGTGGGCCCCGGACGGAGCAGGGCCTCCTGCTGACAAAACCAAACCAGCTCTTGGGAGGGAAGAGAGGCCGCGAGGCTTCAGCACCAGGTGGAAGCACCAGCCGTTGCCCTAGCCGGGCCCTGCCCGCCCCGAGAGCCCTGTCTCCCCGCCGGGCTCGTGCTGCAGGAGGCGCCAGCACGTCCTCAGAGGGAAGCGCTGTCAGCAAGCACTGCGGGCGAGCCGCGGGGGTGGAAGTGCTCGCGGCTCCACGCGGCGGGGGGACAATGACCGGGGGGACAATGACGCGGACAGAAAGAGGGGCAGGGCGGTCAGGCGTGCGCACGTCCCGGACAAGACGGCACCGAGCGGGCACGTCTGTGAAACAGGAAGGAAGCAGCTCCCATCGGAGTGGGAAGCAGGCGGCGGGGGAGAGCGGGGAACGAGCTGGCGGGCGAGGCTGCGGGGTGCGTCCAGCCTGCGGGGGGACCAAGGCCCACGCCTCGGGCACCTGGAAACCAGCACAGGTGGCTGGGGGGCCTTTGAATCCATGCGAGGTGACGAGCTACAAAGGTTCGCCTGGCTATGACACCAGACACTGCTGGGAGGGACCACTGGTGCAAAACGAAGACTTTAGTTTGGGAGCCAAAAATTAATCATTTCTTATTTTGTTAACATTATATAGACTGTCATTTTCTGAGGTATTCTTATACATAAAATGATGAGCTAGTCTTTAATATATATATTTTTAAAGTACAATGAACTAGGGATACTTTTCTAGGGAATAGCAATACTTACAGAAACAAATATTTAATTAAAAAATATTTGCATCAATAGCATTTGGTGAGAATATTGATGCAATACCGGCAACTAATCCTTTCAGTGAGATAAAAGCCCAGGAAGAAGCAGGCCGCTACATTCCTTTTTCAGTTTTTCAAAAATAAGCATCACATATTAACACACCAAGCTCTTTAGGCCTGAGTGTACAATCTTTGTGTCCATTAAGACTTTCCTGAAGACCATGTTTCAGTGGAGAAAGAAACTGTGTGTTTGATTAGAAACTGCTTTCAGTGAAGTAGGTGGGACTACATTTTTGGTTTATGAATGTACTCGATCATTTCTTTTCTTTCTTGCTTTTATCTGACAATCATTGACCTACATCCCCTCTAGCAGGAATTTAGCAGATGACAGTCAAGACTATTTGAAGAGACATAACTAAGGTGTCTAAATTTGTTCTGAATATACCACAGTTTTGAGAAATACTGCTATAGATACTTTCATGTCATGTTGAAATCATTCCCCGTATTAAAAGGCAGCCCATGAAAGAAAAATATATCAGTATGGTTTGTGACCTGTTTCTTTTAAATTCCAATCCAGTCCAACAAGCCTCCTCTTCTCTAATTACAGACCTGGATTTCACTACCCTCAGCAAACAGGGTTTCCACGCCAGGATTGGTGCCAAGTGTTCACACAGGCAGGTTTGGGAAGAGAGAACCGTGGCAGCTGAACACATGTACTTTGCTCTCTTCCAAAAACGTCTCTAAAACTCCAGTAAAAAAAAAATTAGCAGCCTAAATCCGTAAGGTCACAGAGCCAGGAACGGGAGCTGGGGGGTGAGATGGCACATTCTGGAAGCTGGAAAGCAAACGAGCAAGGCGGGTTCCTGCGGGAGCCGCGAGAGCTGCACCCAACTGCGGGCAGAGCCGCCGGCAGGGAGCAGGCGGGCCGCTGCGGGGCGGGCGCGAGGGGCTCTCAGAGCGTCTGGCTTGAAGTGTTTCATGTTACGGTTAGAGACCCCTACTTCCCACAAGACACGATCGCCTCCCCGCAAAGCCTGTGCGTGTGCGGTCACGGGCTACCCTAGCAAACGGAGAGGAGAGGGTTTTAGTTAAAAATCTTCACGACAGGGCTCTCCAGAGCCTGCCTTGTCACAATCACAAGTGCTGACGTCCAGGCCTTCGGTTCCTGGAGAGTAACAGAGGGGCTGCTGCCGTCTGAAAACATGTGAGAAACTGTGTGAACAAGTGGGGGAAACAGAGTCAAGCTTTAGAATCCAACCGAAATGAATCTACCTATTATCTACCTACCAACCTATTAATCATCTTCTACCTTTTATCTATCACCTATGATCAATTATGTGTTTGTTGCCCTACCTTCAATCTCGCTAGCTCTATCACAATACATACTGAAGACAGACACACACACGTCCACTCTTGCTCCTGGGCGGTCGAGCGGAGAACGGCGCGCCGGCCGGCAGGGCGAAGGCTGCCGTTCCGCGGGGTCTCACCTGGCTGGAGCTTACTGGGCTGCTGCTGCGCTCCGGCTCCAGGGGCGGGAGGAGGGCTCGCCCCCGCAGGCCCAGCGCCCTGGGTGGGGCTTGCACTGGTCAGCGCCCCTGTGGGCAACGGCTGACCCCTCTTCAACAGCTGCTTCTGTTCTTGCTGGCGGAAGCGTGGAGGCACCTCGCGAGGCAGGTAGCGGGACGCGGCTGGCGGCGGGCCGCTGGCAGGTGCGCGCTTGCCATTGCCGCTGCTGGAGAGGGTGCTGGTGGCAGTGCTGGTCCCGGCGCCGGCAGGCTGGGGCTGGCTGGAGCCGGTCTTAGTAGGTTCTGGCACTGTAAGGGCAAAATGGAAAGACCCCAAACTTTAGTGACACCCCCTGAAAACCCAACCCAAACCAAAAGAAACAAAAATCTGAGGAAGATGACAATGTAGTGTTTTGGGAACAGAACCGGACGGAAGCCTAGATTCTGGGTTTGAGGCCTAGTTGTCCTACAGACTAACCGCCGCCTTGACCGTAGCCTTGACCCAGGGCCCTCCTCTGTGAAACGGGAGCCTGAGCAGAGAGCGGCTCTCACAGCCCAGCGTGCCTCGGACTCGGCTCGGGGAGCCGTGAAAGCCCGACCCCGGGGCCCGCGCGGGATGGCGGCGGCGGGGCAGGGGAAGGAGGACTGCGGGTCTGTGAGGTTTTAAGTTTGATGTCCACAATTCAAACCTAAATGTTTTGTTTTGATCCTAATGACGGTCTAAAAAAAATACGTATCGGTGCATTCCGGATTATTCAAACAACTCAAGCGTTTGTGGCGGCGGCGTCTACAATGCACCGCCCCACGCCTCAGACTTTTCGGAAAGAACACGGGCTCATTTGCAAATGACGCATTTGCATTAAGTGAAGGCCAACACGCTATCAGAGGAAGATGCATAAACAAAGGTTTCACAGCAATTTAACTGAAAAAAAGGAGCAGGGGCGCTGAGTGGTGGCCCAACGGGGCCGCACTAACGGCCGTGCCAGAGCTGGTGGCGGCCTGAGAGGTGGCCGCACGCGGAAAGCCGTGGAGACACGTCAAGTGCAGGAGAACCTGCGTCATGACAGGTCTTCCTGTCTTGCACTTGGAACATTAATATCCAGCAAATATCCCATTTGTTTTGTTACATGAAAATAGTTTCTTTCTATGTCATTTGTAAATGTCTGGTTTTCTGGTTGAGTGACAGCTCCGCGTGAAACGCGTTTATACCAAGTTCTGTGTATGTCTTACACGCACGGGGAACATCCTAATACCATTTCCAGGCAGCGCTGGGGAGAGCGCGAGACGTTGCTGTTGGCCTTTCCCGTCTCCCAGAGTGGGCGCGGCCGTCCCCCGTGGCAACCCCACGCCGCCTGCGGTCGGTGTCTGCAAGGCCTCAGCCCAGCGTTTTTCTGTCCCGTGCCCGGCAAACCCTCAGTCCCAGGTGAAGCCGCTGTCCCGCCCTCTACTCCTGGCTCAGCTCGCTCACGCTCTCAAGAAACCACAGCCCTGCAGGGTGGCGCCGCCACAAACCCCTGGTCCCTAACCCCAGGGCGCCCTCCGCTTGCGGGCCACACTCGACTTCCTGGGTCTGCCTGGTTCTACCACTGTCGATGGCTCGTTCAGTCTTGTGTGGGTGTGGTCTGGTTTTAAAAACAAAAATAATTCTGGTTAAGTAAGCAACCCCGTCTCCGTTATGATTCCTGAATGGAAGGTGGCGCGCTGCCACGCCACAGCACACAAAGGGCACGCGGCAAGTCCGAGAGCTTATCAGATAGATCGCTCTTAGGGACCCAGTGCAAGCTGGGAGCAAAACAAAACCCACCCTCTGTGAGACCTGTCAGGTGGAGACGGATGGGCTGCCCGAGCCCTTCCTGTGTCCTTCAGGGCCTCCTCCTGGCTCCATGGGCCCCTCGCCACCGACGGGCTGCAGGTCTTTGCACTCACTCCTCTGCCCTGGACCCCAGTGCTGTCCCAGGCTGCCCTCCGCGTCGGTTCAGCCTCGATCTTCAGCTGCTACTGGGCCGCGCTGCTGGGAAGCTGCTGCCCTTCAAACGGAACGTGTCCCGAGGCCCAGCGAGAACGTGCTGGGTCTGAGCCCAGGACTGCGCTGAGTGCGGGGGGCCGGGCGCCTCCCCTACAGGAGCGGGCGATCTGCTCAGGAAGCCCGCGGTCCTGACTGCAGGTCAGTCACTTAGGGTCAGGGCCACGCACAGCACGCAGCCATGAGCCACACGCGACTGCCGAGCACCGGAGGTCTGAATCGAGGGAGCTGCGCGGCATACACCCTGCACTTCTGTTAGCGCGAATCCCAGAAAACAGCTTACTGGCAATTTTTATATTAGTTTCATGTTGAAACAATAACATTTTGAATATACCAAGTTAAAAATGTATTATTAATCGTGATCTCACCTGTGCCCTTTTTGTTTTAAAATGTTGCTGCTATAATTTTTAAAGTGACTTGTGCGGCTCGTCCTTGGGGCTTGACATGCACCCTGCTGGGCGGCGCGGGCTGCCTGCCGGGGCGGGGCAGGTTTGAGCGGCTCCTCAGGGTGTGCCCCATGCACACAGCCGCCCGCTTTCGTGAGGACTGTCAGCTGCGGTCGGTCGTCAGCTTTCCAGGGACCTTCCCTCAGAGCTCGGGGCTTCCGCCCGTCCTGACACCTGATCGCACATGCAGGAGAGTCACCCACTGTTCCGTACATTGAATGAGAGACCAAGGGCCGGAGCCGAGCGCTCTGTTACCTGCCCCAGGCCCCCTCTCACAGTGCCACTCCCGGCCGCCCCAGGTGCTACTGCTGCAGCTGCCGCTGTGGGGGCTGCCCTGCGGCCCCGGGGAAAGGGCAGAGAAGCCGCCCTCAGCACAGCAACAGCGTCGCAGGGAGCGAGAATTCGGGCCTGCGGAGCTGCGTCCCAGCCTCTTTTCTGTGAGCTACTGATCGACCTCCTCTGGTCGAAGCCAGTATTTTTCAGGTCTTTGAAACTAGCTGCCAGTTAACATGATATTAAACTGATAACTGGAGGATCTCAAACTTTGGATCTATTCTTATCGACGGATCCAATGGGCCGTTTCTGGCTAGCTATGCACTGTCCTCAGACCCAAATTCCTCAGCCTGCCATGGCCCAAAGACACAGAGCAGGGTGTTGGAGCCGTCCTGCCACTCCTCGCCTGGCACAGCCAGCTCCAGGCCACCGCTGCAGGGCAGGGCCCGGCCCCAGCGCCCCCAGGACACACAGGAGGCAAGGGCAGCTCTGGCTTGAGTTTTCTAATGGGTCGTCAACAAATCATTTATTTAGAAAAAAATTACAATAGCACCCAGCTAATAACGACATAGCAAATCAAAAAGCTAATAAGCTAGAAATTATGGTTAGGATCCTTTGCCTAATAAATTTTTTCTCTTTTAAATGAGGGCGACACCTGCTGGTGAAAAGGTAGTGTGTCACATCATCATACAAGAAAGCAAGTCATTTAATTTTCTTCCCGAGAAACGAATTCCTGCCTCTAGCTAAGATCTTCACAGGGCATTGTCACCACTGGGTGCAAGGAGCTTGCAAACCCCTCCCATTGCTCTTCCAGAACAGGCCGCACCCAGCAGGGAGCTTGGGCGGTCCCTCTAGGTCCCTCTGGAGGACCCTGGGAGGAGCACCTTCCCAGAGTTCACACCTCGCCCTGTCCCCCTTGACCAGGAGTGGAGGAGCTTCCTTGCTGGCCCGGCCTCCTGGACTTCAGGCCCCGGGCCCCTGGCCGCACGCCAGGCCCTGGGTGCACGGAAGAAATAAGGGAACAGGGCTCCGCCCCTGGAGCTGTCAACCCCGCAGGAGGGGACTGCTGGAGCCATTCTGCAAGTGCGCAGTTACACGGTGGGCACGGCAAAAGCGAAGGTTAGGTTAGGGGCCCGGAGAAGGCTCCTCTGAGGAAGTGACACCGAGGCTGAGCCTGAGAACTGGGCCAGGTGACGCGCAGGCCCGCCTCCCGCTCCCGCAGCGGGGACAGTGCACAGGAAGGGGACTCCGTGCTCTGCAGGACCGACGCAGGCTGGCATGGCTGGGGCGCGGGGGCGGAGGGAGAGCGACCGGACGTGAGGCGGAGGGGCAGGCACGGACTTTACAAGCACTTTGGATTCCACCACTTGGCAGCAGCAGGGACAGTAGTCGGGCGACCTGGCAGGAGGACCCCTCCACGGTGTTCCTGTCCTGGCTGCAGTGCATGGGGAAGCAGAGCCTCCAGTTCGGGGAGCAGTTCTCAAGGGGCGGGTCCCTCTGACGACAAGCTCCCAGAGCGCCACCTCGGCTGCTCACTCAGCGAGCAGGTGACCCGAGCCAGAGGCTGACTGTGCGGGCTCTACCGCCGGGCAGCCTTGACCAACACCACCTTTCCAGGTGAGGGCTGCACCCTCCGCGCCCCGCTCTATGACCCGCTGGGACACGCTGGGGAGGGCGGGTGTCCACTCCGGCCCGCCTGCGCGCCTCGCAGGGGCCCTCCAGGGCTGAGAGCAGGGGGCGCCCAGCACCGAGGCCTTTCCATCTGGGCCACCAAGTCACAGCGCCAAGACATTCGTTTCCATAAGCATTTATTTGGAAATACTTAGGATGCACACAAAGGCATAAAGATGAGATCAGCTGACCCCGGGCGCCCAGCCCCCAGCTGAGTAAGAAAACGCGGTCAGGCCCACCCGTGCCCCCACACCTTGCCCCCCGCCCCCGTGCGTTCCTCTCGGGAGATGCAGAGCCCGGACTTGGGCTGCCGGCCTCAGCCCGGCCACTTACGGCGGGTCGCCCTGGGTAAGTTACATAACCGCTCTGTCCATGAGTTGTGCCGTCTGTGAAATGTGAGCAGCTGGGGGATGAAACGAGGTGCAGCCCCTCCTGAGGGTCCTCGCAGGAGTAAGTGCTAACGTGTGCGAACAGCCACCCACGACAGTGGTCGGCACACGGCAGTGCTCATGTTGCGGAAAAGGGAAAACACGCAACGACATTTGTTAACGCTGGTAAGGCCAACCTGATCCGGGACGTCGAGGTGGGTGCAGGGACCGCCGCCATGGGGTCTTGCAACGGCGGAGAGAGACTGGGCTCGACTCAGAATACAGCGTGGTAAGCAGGGATTTACAGCCACGGGGTCGGCGGCGGGGCAGCGTGGGGGCAACGGGTGGAAAGTTACTAAGAAGAAATGGCAGGCACGGTGGGGGGTTCCGGCTAAGCGGACACAATTCTTGCTGAAACAGGGCATCACCAGGGGGTGGGGGGCAGAGGAAGAGGGGCCGGAGCAGACACAGGGTGGGGGGGGGGGGGGCTCTCTGGTGGAACCGACTCGCCAGGGTCCCGGCTAAGCT